GGATCACATCATTGGGAGAATGATGCGATGGACAAGACCCAATCCTAAGCATAGCACAAGATCGTGTAGTTTGTTTGCTAAAGCTTTTCTAGTGTCAAGTATCAGTTTCTTAGACCATGAGATTGTGTAACTCCCGGATACCATAGGGGTGCTTTGGGTGTAGCAAACGTCACAACGTAACTGGGTGACTATAAAGGTGCACTACAGGTATATCCGAAAGTGTCTGTTGGGTTGGCACGAATCAAGACTGGTATTTGTCACTCCGTATGATGGAGAGGTATCTCTGGGCCCACTCGGTAATGCAATAATAATGAGATCAAGGTGACCAAGTGGTTGGTCACGGGACCATGCATTACGGAACGAGTAAAGTGACTTGCCGGTAACGATATTGAACGAGGTATTGGGATACCGACGATCGAATCTCGGGCAAGTAACGTACCGATTAACAAAGGGAATTGTATACGGGATTACTTGAATCCTCGACATCGTGGTTCATCCGATGAGATCATCATGGAACAGCCAACATGGGTATCCAGATCCCGCTGTTGGTTATTGGTCGGAGAGCTGTCTCGGTCATGTCTGCGTGATTCCCGAACCCGTAGGGTCTACACACTTAAGGTTTGGTGACGCTAGGGTTATTAGGAAGACTTGTATGTGATTACCGAATGTTGTTTGGAGTCCCGGATGAGATCCCAGATGTCACGAGGAGTTTCGGAATGGTTCGGAGGTGAAGATTTATATATGGGAAGTTGTAATACGGTCACCGGAAAAGTTCGGGGGCATACCGGTATTGTACCGGGGCCACCGGAAGGGTTTCAGGGGTCCACCGGGAGGGGCCACCTCTCTCGGAGGGCCTCATGGGCCGTAGGGGAAGGGAACCAGACCTTAGAGGGCTGGGCGCATCCCCCCCTTGGGCCCATGCGCCTAGGGTTGGGGGGGAAACCATAAGGGGGGCGCCCCCCCCTTGCTTGGGGGGCAAGTCCCCCCCCCTCTTGGCCGCCGCCCCCCCTCTAGCTCTCATCTAGAGGGGGCCGGGCCCCTTCCTCCTCCCCCTATGAATAGAGGGGCGAGGGGAGGGCTGCAAACACACCTCCAAGGCGCAGCCCCTCCCCTCCCCAACACCTCTCCTCCTCTGTAGATGCTTGGCGAAGCCCTGCCGTAGTACTGCCTCTCCATCACCACCATGTCGTCGTGTTGCTGCTGGAGATCTCTTCCTCAACCTCTCCCTCCTCCTTGCTGGATCAAGGCGCGGGAGACGTCTCCGCTCCGTATGTGTGTTGAACGCGGAGGTGCCGTCCGTTCGGCGCTAGGGTCTTCAGTAATTTGGATCACGACGAGTACGACTCCATCAACCCTGTTCTCTTGAACGCTTCCGCTCGCGATCTACAAGGGTATGTAGACACACTCCTATCTCTCTTGTTGCTAGATTACTCGATAGATTGATCTTGGTGATGCTTAGAATTTTTTTATTTTCTGCAATGATCCCCAACAAAAAAATAACCGCATTCCGGAGGGACCATTTGGTCTACTTAAGCCAGTTTTTGAACAAAGGTCATTTTTTCCACCACCTCCAAATCACCCAAATTTTCTTTTACATGGTGACCCACATGTTGCAAACATGGCTATGAAAGAAAACTTGGAAAAAAGAAATTTTACAATGCCCCTTGAGGTATAGACCGATGTTTTGACCAGTCAGTCTGTAGGGCAGTATAAATCAAAAAAAATATAAAACCTTGGAAACCTAGCTTTGTTTGTGCAAGAGGTCATGTGTGCAAAAGTTGAGGTGATTTGGAGGTGGTCAAAAAAATCACCGCATTCCAGAGGGACCATTTGGTCTATTTAAGCCAGTTTTTGAACAAAGGTCATTTTCTCCACCACCTTCAAATCACCCAAATTTTATTTTACATGGTGACCCACATGTTGCAAACATGGCTATGAAAGAAAAATTGGAAAAAAGAAATTTTACAATGCCCCCTTGAGGTATAGACCGATGTTTTGACCAGTCAGTCTATAGGGCAGTCGGGTCTGCCGGAGGGCAAGTCTGAAAGAGGTTTTCTTTCTAGGTCCCACCAAATGACTGCAAATTATGCACACCCTACCATGACCATGGCATGCATGCTTGACTTGAGTGGGAGCAGAATTCATACACCACAGTCTCATTTTTGTTTAAATTCCATTAATAGCCATGTGTATTACATGTAAGTGTGCATGTGTAAAATTTATTAGGCGATTTGATGAAGATCAAAACACATGTCAATTGCAAAAAAAAAATTACCACCTACCAGAGGCAGGATAATTCTAACACCAGGGCCTGCATATGACTAGGAACCCATCCGTTATGGTGGTTACCGAAGGTTGTTCGGAGTCCCGAATGAGATCTCGGACGTGACGAGGAACTCCGGAATGGTCCGGAGGTGAATATTAATATATTGGACGAAGGGTATTGGAGTCCGGAATTGTTCCGAGGGTACCGGGTGATGGCCTGCATGACCAAAAGTGGTTTCCGGGGGCCCGACAAGTGTTGGGGCCTCATGGGCCAAGGGGATGGGGCAAACCAGCCCACCAAGGGGCTGTGCGCCCCCCTCACCTGTCTCATGTAACCACGATAGGTGGGGTGCCCCATCTAGGGTTCCCTCCACCTGGCTTGGGGGGCAAGCCACCCTAGGGATTCCCTAGGGGGCGCCTCCATCTGCCTTGGCTGCTGTCCAAGGCAGATGGGATCTAGGGGCGCCACCCCTCCTCCATTCCCCCTATATATAGATGAGGAGAGAGAGGGCAGCTACACACCTGGAGCACATCTCGACGCTACGACGATGCCTCTCCCCTCCCTCGCAACCCTCTTCCTCTCTGTAGTTATTAGCGAAGCTCTGCTGAGATTCTGCCACCACCACCGCCACCATGCCGTCGTGCTGCCGGAGGACTCGAGCTACTACTTCACCATCGCTCGCTGGATCCAGGAGATGAAGGTGTTATCAAGCCGTACGTGTGTTGAAAGCGGAGGTGCCGTCCGTTCGGCACTTGGATCGGGAGTTCGCGGGACGAATCGTGATTAGATCGCGAAGATGTTCGACTACATCAAACTCGTTTCTTAACGCTTCCGCTTAGCAATCTAGAAGGATATGTAGATGCAATATCTCCTCTCATAGATGTTCATCTCCTAGATTGATCTTGGTGAGCGTAGGAAATTTTTTGTTTCCCATGCAATGTTCCCCAACATAGATAGCTCGAGACTGGAATTTGCTCCTCCTACGATGGAGATATATTCTTATGGTCCAGATACAGGTGACTATGTCACATGGATGCTGGAACATGTCAACGAGAAAGAAGAATAAAACTGGTAACACGGATAATGGTATAATGAGCATGTGAATTACTCAAGAGGATATTGATACATCTCACCTCGGGTTTTGTGAAGTATCATGAAGCAAAGCGAACATCACATGATAACCCAAAGGTTCACCCGAACATCATTCGTGTACTCAAAGGGATCGATATGGACATTCGCGGTTCCGCTATTGGTTATTGAACAAAGGGGTTTCATTCCTATATATGTTTTACCGAACCTACAGGGTCACAAGCTTAAGGTAATCATGGTCAGCTGAGTGTTAGTAGGATAGGAGTAATGAGGATTTTGTTTAGAAATAGTTTCGTTAATATTTGAAATAGTTCCGAGAGGAACCGGAAGGGTTTTGGAGTTTATGGGGCAATTCCGGGTTTACCAATAAATACTATATAGGTGAAAAATGTTTCCTGAGATGTTAAATTATTAATAAAAGGCTCTAATAATAGTTAGGAGGTTTTTATATTTAATTAAATATCAACAGAGCTTAAAAGGCCAAACAGTGGAGGGAGGATTGGACCACAAGGGTCGTATAGGGGAGGCGCCCCCTTTCCCCACTTGGGGAGGTCGAATTGGAAAAGGGGGAGGACTCCTCCTCGCACTAGGGCTGGCACAAGGGGAGGGGATTCCTCCCTCCTCAACCTATATATACTAGAGGGTCTTTGCACTTTTGAATTGAAGTTTTGGACCCTCCTCTAGTCCTTTCTAGTTCTAGTTGGTCCTAATTGATCTAATTAGAGCTAGACTTAGATCCTCTTATCCTCATAATTAGAAGCCCAGTGTGTTTATAATCTCCTGCCTCTAATTCTTCGGGGACGATTAGCTCTGGACGGTGAAGCGCTGACGGATCGTGAAGACCGTATGCTTGCAACTCGTAGTGAGGCCGTGCTTTCGGTCTTCCGTTCGAGGGACTGTTCATGGGCGGTTTGTGTAATCATTCATCTATAGTTTGAGGGACTCCAAGTATGATCCATGCTGACTCGTCTTCTTCCGCTGCAACTCGAAGTCGGTAACGATCTGATCCAAACTATTCATTGCATCTTCGTAGTGTTCCTGGTTGATCATAGATAGATTTTTTTTTATGTTCTACTACATTACTCAACACTAAGTATGCACCTTCCACTTCCACAATTAGTTTGCTTGCAGCGAATTGAAATATATTGCGACAATGTTATACGGATGCCCTTTATGCATCCATATTATGAAATTTTAGTGCCCATACTTAGAGCCTAAATCCTGCTTTTATACGGACTCCAAGTATGATCCATGCATTTTAGCAGTTGGAGCTTGCAACACAAAGCTCATACGATACCTGAACTAATTTTAGTTCTTTCTTGGACAGTAACTTGTGGACGCTGACATCGGACCGATGCTCCAGATCATGCATACATATGGAATATGTACAATGCTGAATTTTCATTGTGCTTGTTCAATTTCTGAATGTACTCCAATGCAGGTCACCTTCTCAAAGAGTGGAAATCATTGTAGGATTTTTTTTGGATTAACGGGGCTTATATATCTACTGACAGAGTTGGCAACCGTTGTAGGTTTTTTGAGTTCACATGGCTTATCTTCTCAAATCTGGTACTGGTAGAACTTGCACTTTGTACCTCCATATTGTGAGATGAACTTTCACTGAAACGAGAGACAAGTGAGTAGATCAAGTTAGTGCTAAATAATAATTTCACACAAAAGCAAAGGAACAAAAGGAGAGAAATATCTTACTCGAGTTCACAGAAGTTCTGCTGTGGTGGCATCTCCAGTTCATCTAAGCTTCTCTCAAACATTTCCAGAACTCGTGTTATAGTAGGGCGATACATAGGTAATACCTGTATGCACCACATGCCAATTAATGTCATCTTTCTAGCTATCTCCGTAGTTTCACTTGTCACGTCACATGCCTGTAAGCCTTCATCTTGTGAAAAGTGGTCATAAATCCAATCTGGGAAATACTTTTCACTGGATTTTTCAACAATTGATTTTACATTTCTCCTGCCTCCAACCATCTCCAACAACATCATTCCATAACTATAAACATCTGACTTTGTTGAAACCACTCCGAAGGTTCGAGAATGAACTTCTGGGGCAATGAATCCAATTGTTCCTCTAGCACCACCAGTCATTGAAACTTTACTCTCTTTCATATGACACAGTTTAGCCAGACCAAAATCAGCAATTTTGGGGCTAAAATCACTGTCCAGAAGGATATTTTGAGGCTTGATATCGAAATGGATGATGCGTGTATTACAGCTATAGTGCAAGTATTGGAGGCCATGAGCAATCCCGAGTGCTATTTCATAGAGCCTCTCCCACCCTAAAACTTCTTTGGGGTTCTCTGAGTAAATGAACTTATCCAAGGAACTGTTCGACATGTATTCATATATAAGAGCTCGTTTTGATCCCTCCAAACAAAACCCAAATAAGGTAACAACATTAACATGTGATGTCCTGCCAATGCTCATAACCTCATTCACAAACTCGCTCCTATTTCCTTTGGAGTCATGCAAGAATTTCACAGCAACTAAACGACCATCATGAAGTCTTCCTTTGAAAACCACACCGTAACCACCTTTTCCAAGCTCATTGCTACGAGAAAATGTTATCTTCATTACATCCGAGTACATGTATCGTTTTGGAGCTAGGGATCCATAGGATGCTATCATGGCCTCGTAATTATTTTCATTGTTTCTGCTAGACTTGTTGCAAAGGATAAACCATAGTCTTCTCCCTTTTCTATGCCATGTCAGCATATAAATACACGGGAATAGCAAGGTTGCAGCTGCTGCTGTCGAAGAAAGCATCTGTTACTTCCTTGCGTAAACTAAAGGCTGTAGTATAGTAATTATGATTTGCAAGACCATAGCTAGCTTAAATTTCCCTTTATGAAAGATTGCATGGTGGCAAAAATATCAACAAAGCTAAATTCCATAAATTCTAGTAGTACGTGCAAACTGGGAGTTGCTTCTCTGAAATTTTAGTTTAGAATCAATTTTCAATGATTACAGGCATGGTAAATTTTGAAGTTACTATTTCATCATAGAAAAACACTATTAGTGGACCATTGGTATTTAAATCGTCACATATGAAAAGATGACAAAAGTTTTTAGCATACCTATTAGCATAATCTTCATGACGGCGCTCTTGCTACCTGGAATAAAACATCACATTTATGAGTAAACACTGTGTCATCCAATAGTACTACATTAGTTCATTATTTTGCCAAAAAAATATACAGATGAAACAAATACATTGCAAGATATTGAAGGACAATAGAACAGGAACTACATATGTTTCCCGCAAAAAAAATAAGGAACTACATATGTGACTTTCTTTTGATCGACTACAGTTTTGACAAAAAAATTGTGGCGCATCTCTCACTTATTTTTTTTTTGAAGGATTCATATCTCGCTAGTCATCATTTAAAATGTATTCCATCTTGCCTGAAGCTGGGGACTCGTTTGTTGACTAGCGAGATATGAATTCTGGCCTCTGCATCTAAGTGAGTAAAATTGTTTTGTTGACGCGTTTGATTTGTTTTTTTTAAAGGAGGATGACCCCTGGCCTCTGCATCTGGGCGATGCATACGACCACTTTATTAATTATTCTCACAAGACTTTATAAAGGCATACAACAGTAAGACTAAAGCCACCGTCTAAGCAACAACTGTCGCTAAACCTATCCAATTGATGAAGGGGCGCAGATAGTCTGGGCCTAATACCAAACAGACATCGCAGCCAAACTTAAACATCTAAGACCTAAGGTCCCAACCAGGACGCCTGCCGGGTAGGGCTACCAGTCCGGCGCACTCCTCAATCAGGACGCCTGCCGGGTATGAGGCCGCCGCAGCCACCTGCCACCAATTCATCTTCAGAGCTATACTGTTGCATGTACCGTGTCAGGTCTCTCTGCCATCGACGCCACGACGATGCCCGACAGCGTCGTCCTCCTGCACGAGTCCATCCTCCCACAGCTAACTCCGAATCTGCACTGCGCCACACCGTCAAGAACCGTCGCCATCAGTGTGTAGGATGAAGCCCCGCTCCACCAAAGAATCTGTCCTCTGGTCCCTCGATCACGTGTGTACCTCCAAGAATGACGCCCCCAAGGGAGGAATGACACCAGCGCGCCGCCGTCATCTGATCATCCGATCTAGGGTTTCCCCAAGAGGTAGCAGAGAGTGGCCTTGAACTTCTCCACGGCGATGCCTTCAAGAAGGGAATGACGCAGATAGCGCCGCCACCGCCGGCCTTAGCAGACGCCGAAGGCAAGTTTTCACCCAGATCAGTTCGAAGGGATTCAACTCTCGTGCATGGGCCGCCGTCACCACCAGCACCACCAGGCAGAACCCTGGAGCACCGGCAGATCAACGAGCCGTCAGCACCACCACATCCAGATCGCCGGCCACGCCGGGCCGCCGCCATCCCCCGCGCCGTCCGGGTCAGAGACGGAGCCGCCGACCGCGCACAGGGACCACCGCCGACTGCACACGCCGGAGCGCCGCCAAGAACCCAGCGCCCGCCACCGCTTGCCGAGGGCCGCCGCCGCGCGCCCCAAGCGGACTCCCACGCACACCAGGGAAAACTGCCGTCGCCCCCAAGCCTGCGCCGGCGGGCCCCGCCTCCAGTGCGCCGCCAACCACCGCCGCGATTCGCTCGCGCCTGATCCAGCGAGCCGTGGGAGAAGAGATCCCAGCGGCGCGCCCTGGCGGTGGCGAGGAGGAGAGGTCGGGGGAGGGACGAGGACGCGGCGCTACGGTTTCCCCCCCGGTCACCGCACAGGGCGACACGGGAGGCCGCGTTTGATTTGGTAACACAAGCAATAAATCGAGGTGCATAAACAACCAATGAAATTGTTTTCGGGGCAGAGGCAGGTAGCTAGCCGACTGACCTCTCGTAGGAGTAGCAGTAGCAGCTGGAGCTGGCGCCGGTTCAGCCGCCTGCTTGGTCTGTTGCAACATGGCGCTGCCAATGTAGAACGGGGACACTTGGTACCTCAAGGTGCAGCGTGGACCAGCGATGCTGGCGCCCTCCAAATCCAAGTGGGGGAACGTGGTCCACCACTTGCCCACGAGGCGTTGCAGGCAGTTTCGGCACTGCGCCGGCGACAGGTCCGGTGCGCACTGCGCCGCCGAGTACATATTGCGGTCGGGCCCTACCCAATGCCCCGTGGCGAAGAGCCTGGAGGAGTTGTCCACAGCATACTGCACCGTGGCGGTGAGAAAGCCGGTGACCGCCTGTTGGTAGGCATGGACGTCGGTGCTGATGATGTCGGCGCCGGTAAGGAGATCTACCTCGCCGGAGTTGCCGGTGGGGTCCAGAAAGTCGTGGACGTCGGATAGGCGGACGTAGCACGGGCTGTAGTAGAAGGCCACGTCCATGCTGCGGTTGCAGGCTGTGGCCGCGTCCCGAATGGCCGTGCTGACGCAGTCGTAGCAGTCGGGGGCGCTGACGTCGCCACGGCAGAGAACCAGGGCCCAGGCAGTGTCCGGCGCGGCGCCGTGGGCGCCGGAGGCGAATCGGGAGGGCGAGTTGGAGGCGTTCGAGCGGAGGATGCGGAGGAGGTATACGAGGTTGGTCTCGTATGTGCTGCCTGCCGAGTAGTTGCCTTGGCCTCTGCCGCAGTTTGCCCACGTCGGCTGTGCTGCGGCGAGCGGAACGAGCGCAAGGAGGAGCAGGAGAGCGTGAATGTGAATGGGCATGGGCATGGCGGCCGGGCGGGAAGAATGAAGAAATCACTACTTCTCCCAGCCTCATAAGAAGGGCATCCCTTAGCTAGCTTAATTTAGCTCTCTGCTACGTACGTACTCCTACTTCATTCATCTTTTTTTGTTTGTCCCTTGAGCCTGTTTTTTGTTATACAGTATGTTTTTGTCTCCTTGTTACATTTACATGCATGCAATGCAACCGGCCGGCCGGCCGGCCGTCGACTCTGCTGACTCGACTATTACGAGGTAGGCCGTTTTTTTGGATCAAATACTAGGTACCAGCAGCCTCATCTATCTTTCAACAACGACGTTGCACCTTATATAATTCAAAAAATGTATGCATAGTTTGTGTAGTTGGTTGCCGTCTAGTACGTCTTGCCATTTGTCACATGTCCAAGCCGTCTTCTCTTACCCGACCGATGCTCTTTACAAAATCCTTTTTATTGTCAAAAAGGAGGACATACACCCGGCCTCTGCATCAAAATGATGCATGCGGCTATTTTATTAAAAAGTTCATCAAATAAAGGTCCACAGTGCAGTACAGTTCACATAAGGAGCACAAAAAGCAAAAGAAATAGACCAAGCCACAACTGGTAATGAACAGGATCAATACTACTAGGCATCTATCCTATTAGTAAACCGTCATCCAAACCGTCTGTAAATAGCCCGTGCTACCGTCTCCCATCGGTTGCACACAGTAACCAAAAGCTCCCTACAATCCGTATGAGTGAGTAACGACCACGTACGGATTCAAGCAGCCGCTCTGTAGATAACCTGCAAGAAATTTAAAATATTCTGTCTATTAAAGATCATATATCATTCCTGCAATTTTATATAGCCCAGAAAAGTGTGCATATTTCTATCCGAATAGGTCCCGCAGTAACTGATTCCAGTCCAGCAAGCCATGTCCCAAATAACATGTCGATGCTAACTGGAGGGCTTATGTTGAAGGCTATATGAATCATACACCACAGAAGCTTAGCGAGAGGGCAGTCGATAAAAAGATATTGTATTATTTCATCATTATCATAGAAACAACAATGTGAATTGCCTACCCAATTGCGCCTAAGAAGATTATCTTTGGTGGGAATCGCTTGCTTATGGACGAACCACATGAATATCTTGATTCTCAACGGAACTTTAATTTTCTAAATATGAATAGATCTCGGGATTGGGCCAGAATCAATCAGATCCAAGTACAAAGATTTTATCGTGAAAGCCCCTTTCTTCGTTAGTTTTCAGTGAAATAGGTGAGGCTGGTTAGAAAGTTGAACATCCATCGACCTTTGCACAGGTGCAGCCAGGCGTTCTACCTCTCCCCCACTAGGGAACTCTTGAACTGGATATTCAGCGGGGATGACTGTAATATTTTATTAATGTAAACCTCCTTATGTAGTACAATATTATACAGAGCGGGATATTGCAAGGCCAAGGGCGTCTCCCCTAACCATGTAGTTTCCAAAAATCTGGTTGTAGTACCATCTCCAACCAAAAAATTTGCTCTATGAAAAAAAAAGGCATCCTTTCTTGTCATTAGTCCCATCCAGAATGGTGAGTCGTTAGGTCTGACGGTAACCTTGGGCCAGAGACTTTGCGACAAGATATTTGTTATGAAGAATCTAAGCCCACTTGTCATCGGTCTCAACCGATAACATAAAGAGCCATTTACTTAATAAGCAATTAGTTTTGATCTACAAGTTCTCAATCCCAAACCCCCTTTGTCCTTGGGTCTGCAAATAATATCCCACCTGGTAAGCC